CCCAGGCTGGTGTTTTGAGCACATGGTGTTCCTGGGGGGCCCTTGATAACTTCACCCTTAATGATTTGGGCACACACATCAACACCCAGTAATAAATCAACTCTTCCTGATTTATTGAAGCTTGGATCCGCTAGAGAGAGTCCTTGGAGATGCGGCCAGGTGTTGGTGGAGATGGTTTGTGATGGTAGCTTGGCAGTGAGACGGGTTGATATGATGTACGCTTTGACTGTGAAGTTGAAACTAGCGTCGTGTCTTGATAGTAATTGGATTTCTGCAGAATGTTTAACATTTGTTGTGGTTGAGCCGACTCCAGTGATGGTGCCATTAACAGGCGTTCTCTTCAATCGTAACATCTGGGCCGCTCTCTCACTCATGAAGGTAGCTTGGGAGCCGTGGTCAATCAAAGCACGTAGTACTGTCACTTGTCCCGATTCATGTTCTCTTACAGGCACGAGGGCTGTGGCCAGTATTGCAGTGGACGAAGTAGCAGTGACATGCGATGAAAGTGAAACGTTAGTTTTGGCGGAAGCTTGCTGAGTTTCAATGTCTTTATCTTGTTCTTTCTTGTTGCCTGGTTGGTTTGATGACGTCATAGGCGTAGACTGGTGCGTAAGTGTGTGATGACGTTTGTGACATTTTCGACAGGACATCTTCAGGCGACATCTATAAGCTGAATGTCCAGGGGCCAGGCAATTATAGCATAGATTGTGTTGTTTAATGTACTCACACCTCTCTGTTGGGCTGAGTTTGATGAATCCCTCACAATGACACAATGTGTGATCTTCGTTGCACATAGCGCAGCTTCTTTGTTTCGACGGAGTCGTAGTACTTGAGGTTGACATGTGAACTGCGTATTCTTTTCCTTTAGATTTTTCTCTGGTCGGGGGCGTAACAAGCTCCAACGTGCGAAATTTCGCTTGCAGGAACATCTTAAGTGCGTCCCAGTCCGGTAACTCTTCGGCGTTATCCTTGTAAGCAACTTCTTCCCATTCACGATGCGTCTCTGGGTCCAATTTTTGAACAACTAAAAATATTATGAGTGGATCCCAAGAGCTCGTTGTCAATTCTAGATTTTTTAGTGCATTCAGACATTCTGTAGTCGTGTCCAATATAGATTTAATGTTACTTGCGGTTTGTACAGATATCTTCCTTTGTGTAAATAATCTCTTCAATATTGAATTGACAATAATGGGCTTGTTACCGAATCGCGCCTTAAGCATTCTAAACGATTCTTCATAGTTAACCTCTGTAACTTGCACGTGTTTCAAGAGTGACAAGGCTTCACCGGTAAGGCTGCTTTTCAAATAGTGCAGCTTTTGTACTTTAGTTAATGTTTGATTATCGTGCACTAATGATGTAAACAAGTCTTGATAAGCAGGCCACTCATCGTAAATACCTGAGAAGGTTGGGAGCTGAATCCTCGGTAATTTAACATGCACTTCCCTTGATAGGCCAGAATCACTGTTATAGTTAGCTTGCATAGATACCGGCGACGACTTGATGTATGTACTCAATAAATCATTTAGATCGGCTAATAAACACACGTACAAATCTTCGTGAACAAAGTAATCTTCGTTAGTAAAGTATGGAATGTCGAGTCGTTGCGGTTTCGGTACACACTTCACTAATTCTATATGTGTATTTTTGTACGTAGACCAATACTCTTCGATGTCTTTAATTCGTGTTTCTATGTATCCTTTTGTAAGACGTTGTTTCGGACATTTCTTGAGATTTATTTGCGCTTTTGATAACTTCATAGCCGTATCTTCCAGCACACTTAATAATTGTTCCGGAGTATTAGCCATTTTTGATGTAATTTCCTTCAATTTGTCGTTAAAATAGAACGTTTCTATGTTTCTTCGTAGTTAATATCTTGTTATGATCACGTCAACTAACTAGGCTCAAATTGACCATTTATTTTTTACAACAAATTCTTTCTTTTGTTCTTCGCTCGCCTCTCGACCCGTCCTTTTGTATTGCGCTCGATAAGTGAAACGTCGTAAGTCCAATAGTATCCGGCTCGATGTCGACCAAAATGTTATAGTAATAAGATTCACTTTTGCTTGCGGGGATTTTAGGTAAGAGAAATACGTGGTTGCATTGCACTGATTTATTTACGACTGGTTTTACATTATGGATTCTTAATTCTTATGATGACACACACATGCATTCGTACTTAATAAACATACCTACATATGCAACAGATTCTAACACAACATAGGGTAATATCCTAAATTTAATTTTAATGTCCGTCTGGTAGATTATTTAAAACATTAGACACGTATTTTTTCTTTTCTTACACAATTAAACACTTTCGACGTTTTATACATTTTATGGGGTAGCGTGACGTAACGACCTCCTAAACTTAACTCCGTTTTATCCAAGTATTGTTTTCTTTTACGACGAAATAAAAAAAACGTTTCTAATATTTTTTCATTATCTAACTGACGGACTAATTACTTTTTAATTTTCATACACTGTCTACTACCATATTCCCAGGTAGTGAAATCGACTGATTTCACCTAGTTGACAGGCTCTGAGGGTTTACTCCAATTCCGATCGATCGACATTGACTTGTGAAACGTACTCTTGAATTGTAACACGAATATGTAACTGCCTCGCTGGCCGACTGGTCGCAAGTGCGACTGCCGGGCAGGAGGTCTCGGGTTCAAATCCCGGGTCGGCAAAGTATGTATTACTGGGTTTTTAAAAAATTCTCAGTATAGTAGCACGGAGTCTGGAATTGTGCCCGGTATATAGCAATAGGCTCACCCCCTATTACATGGGAATGGGACTCATAACATAAATAGTGAAAAGTGGGTGTTACATTATACACAATGTGCACCTCTGCCTACCCCTTCGAGGATAAAAGGCGAGATGTTATGTTATGAATAATTAACATGAGCGCCCTTTGCACCCGTATTGCGTGAATATTGAATAAACTAAATGGTGTTGAATTTAACTTTATAATCTGTACCCCGATTGCTATTTTAACAGCGACGATAGGGGATAGTTTTGACATTGAATAATTATTGAGATTTTATTGGATTGAAATTGCATTGACATTGAGATAGGTTTCAAGAGTAACCGTCCTGGGTGAAATGAGGACACCGAGAAGTCGACTTTGTTCACAAAGTAATTGGGTAATATTAAAATTAAATTGGTCACAAAATCAATTAATAAAAATCTTTAATATTTTATTGTATTGTACAGTTGAAATAATTTATTTTTGAATTAGGAAAGTACCCAATTAAATAGGTTGAATAAGCAGTGAGTGGGTGTTTACCTTCTTAACATGCGAGTTGACCATGGACCGCAGATGGAACAGCGCGGGACACAGCGGACAGCGCCGCGTCGGGGCCGTGTGCGCGCACAGAGCGTGCTGGTTGCGGCGGTTCAGGGACACGAAGCTACGTCCGCACTCCTGCGGGGGAAATAATATGTACATAAATAAAAATAAATTTCCGTTCGTTAGTCTCGCTAAAACTCGAAAACGACTGAACCAATTTGGCTACTTTTGGTCTTGAAATGTTCGTGGAAGCCCAAGGAAGGTTTAAAAGGTAAGACAAATATTTTTTAGGCTGTACGAACTTTGCCGTGTCAGCTTATCAGTCGCCTGATGGTTTATGCTGAAAATAGGCCTACCCCAACGATTCCTAGATAAGTTAGTTAGAAGCGACTTGCATCCAGCGGCTGCAGCAGGATTCAATATCATCATCAACAGCCGAAAGACATCCACTGCTGGACAAAGCCTTCCCCTTGGTCATACACGTCGAACGACAACTCGCCACTTCCATCCACTAGCTTCTCACAACTCTGGCGATGTCGTCGGTCCACCTAGCAGGAGGCCTGCCCACGCTTCGTCTTCCGGTCCGTGGTCTCCACTCAAGGACTTTCCTGGCCCATCTGCCGTCAGTCCGTTGAGCGACGTGGCGTGCCCATTGCCACTTCAGTCTGCAAGTTTTGCGAGCTATGTCGGTACTTCCAGTTCTTTGGCGAATTTCCATATTTCGGATTTTGTCGCGCAAAGAAATCCCGAGCATAGCTCTCCCCATAGCGCTTAGCGACTTTGAGCTTCTCCAGGAGGCCAGAGGTCAGGGACCACGTTTCGGTACCATACGTCATCAACGACAACACACACTGATTAAACATCTTGGTTTTCAGACACTTAGAGGGGTAGAGGGATTTTCGATGAGAAGATTTCGCGTAACTTTCCGAACGCTGCCCATCCGAGTCGGATTCTTCGGGCGACCTCTTTGTCAAAGTTGGACTTATCTAGCTGAATAATCTGCCTTAAGTATGTGTAATGGTCCACAACTTCGAGGATACCGTTCCCAACGATGACCGGTACAGGTGCAACATGGACGTTTGAAATGATTTTGGTCTTATCCATGTCCATTTTAAGACCCACCTGTTGGGAGACGGTATTGAGGTCGCTGAGCATGGTGTTTAGGTCCTCCAGCGACTCCGCCATGATGACTATCAGCGAACCGAAGGTTTGTTATGAAACTCAAACTCAAAGTCTTTATTTGCATGTTAAGGTAATACATACAGGTCATTACAGGTCTTATGAAATAACAGGCACAGCTTAACGGCCTTTTTCAGGCGTTGCAAATTTTCTTTCCCGGAGGAGCAAGTTGCCAGAATCAAGGACCATCGTATCCCGATCCTCTCTTCGGATTTCAGATAGTCCTATATGTCCTAACGCATTTTACTCAATTATTCCTCCAGCTCGACAATCTTCTCATCAGTCCGCAGTGTGCGGATGTTGTGTGTTGCCAGGGCCAATGTTCGTCGGGGGTGGTAACGGTTCATCTGCCGGGGATTCTTAGTACCTCCTGCTTCACCGTTACCCGATCCGCTACATAGATCAAGAATAGCGGAGCTGTCGGGGACTGGGGGTCGTGTGCATATGTTGTCGTTCATAGTGAGCCCCCCGCCCTTCATATCCATAATCCCCACACTTGGCAGGCGGCTTGAGGTTCGCATTTGGGTCACTGATGTATTTATGGAATGCTGCATCCCATTTCTCGGTGTCTGATCGCAGTTTTAGGACGTACCCGGGTTAAATATGGATCTTAAAAGATCTCTTTTTAACCAAACTATTATACAATGCAATCGCATAATCACAGGTCCAACTGCCGAGCAAGGATTCTCGCATTCTATAATAGTATAAACTATTTTTTTTTCTCAATAGATTCGCCCCTTATTCTAACGCTACGTCATGTGTGAGCGATCTAGAAGCGAACGCGATTATGAAACGGTGACACGCGAATTCGTCCTACGTGCATGCGAATTGTTCCATTATAACCAAAGAAAAACATGACAGTTCGCGCGAAAATATCAATCCAACTGATCGCGTCTGCGCCATTTCGCGTCGCTACACATTGGGTCCCGCGTGCGTATTGTCACGTAGGACACGTCAATAGGTTTCGATAGTTTGTTGTTTTCACCGCACACCGCTTCGCATTCGCTTCTACATCGCTCACGCAGGACGTAGCGTAAGACTCAGAACCACAACTGAATAAAAATTGAAATCATATAACAATATATACTTCCACCTATGACTTTGTATTTTAAACAATAACTAGATGTTGCCCGCCACTTTTTCCGCGTAGAATATGAATTTTAGGGAGATAACTTTTGTAAAATTAGCCTGTGTTACTCTTTGGTACATCGGCTACCTGCCAATAAAAGTACTGTCAAAATCGATCCAGCCATTCCAGAGATTAGCCAATACAAACAGACAGACTGGCAGACAAAAATTGTAAAAAATATATTTAAATATGAGTATTATAATATTACAAAGGGTAGTTTCCTAATTTTTGTTTTAATTTCCGTAAATCGTCCGTCCGTCCGTCTGGTAAATTATTTTAAAACATTAGACACGTATTTTTTATTTTCTTACAAAATTAAATGCTTTTGACGATTTGATTTGAAGTGTGTGACGTCACAGCGTGCTACAGAATGTACCACGTTTTGACGTAACGACCTCCCACCAGAAAATAAAAAAATACGTGTCGTAATATTTCTTCATAACCTAACTGACGGACTAATTAGATTTTTAATTTTCTTATCCTGGCAACTACCATATTGTATTTATCTGTATAAACACAAAATATTTAAGTTTTAATTTAAGTGTGGGAGAGCCATGCTTCGGCACGAATGTGTTGGATCGACCGGAGTGATACCACGGCCTCACAGGAAATCGACGACAACGCAAGCGTTGTTTCACGTCGTGTGAGTGAAGTTCTCCAATCCCCGACATTCCTCCAATTCCTAATCCCCAAAAGTTCGGTACCGCACTTGTAACGCCGCTGGTATTCCAGGTGTCTATGGGCGGCGCCGATTGCTTACCACCAGGTGATCTGTCGGCTCGTTAACCGGCTTATCCTATAAAAAACAATACCCATGTAATGATTTACGTTAGGTCTTAGGTACTACTCACCTTACAAGGGTACGGCCTCTCATTATTATGCAGTCTCTGATGCCACAACAACGCGCGCTCGTCCACGAAGTGCCGTCCACACGTGGAACACATACATCGGTTCTTGCCTGACTTCTCTGTTGAAGGGACTTTGTCTTTTTTTGTTTGGGTATGGTCTCTGTAAGAGTATAAAGTTAAAGTTTAGTGTTATTTTCGGAAAGAAGTTTATTATAAAGATTGTTCAGTAGCAGCGACAGCCGCCGCGTCACGGGTCGTGGGATGCTGCTCATGAATATGAGCCTTTAACATGGCTTGACACAAGTTGAGTTCCTCGTCAAATAATAGGGTAGACGACTAATTCTTATTCTAATGTCCGTCTGGTAGATTATTTGAAATCATTAAACACGTGTTTTTTATTTTCTAACAGAAACGAATACTTTCGACCATATATTGATTTGAAATGTCGCGTGACGTCACTTTTATGTAAATTTTATACGTAGAAATGACGTTTTAGCCCCCACTCCTAAACTTTGATTCGTTTTGTCTAAGTATTGTTTTATTATACGACAAAATAAAAAAATACGTGTCTAATATTTTTTAATTACCTAACTTACGGACCAATTAGATTTTTAATTTTCATACTCTGTCGTCATCCCAATTACGTAAGTCGAAACCACAATAATTATTTAAGCAATCTCACGAAAGTTATAATATGGACCTAAAAGTCGTATATCTGTCATAATATTCCCTGTGTTGTGAAAGTTTTAATATAAACATAAAGTACTGTGTGTAGTGATGTTAGTGGTTGGCGTAGCATGTAAGATCTTTATAAAAATTATTTGACCATGAAAATTATGTACTTGTAATATGACAAGGGCACGGACACAAGTCCGTGGCGAATTTCAATTTATTTATTAATAAAAAACATAAATATTGACTTTTAAATTCTAACGCTGCGTCCTGCGTTAGCGATGTAGAAGCGAATGCGAAGCAGTGCAGCGAGAACAACAAACTGTCGAAATCTATTGAAGTGTCCTACGTGACAATACCTACGTGGGAAGCGGTGACAATATCAAATTAAGCCATACATACATAACATCACACCTTTTATCCCCGAAGGGGTAGGCAGAGGTGTACATTGTGCCACTGTACAATGTAACACCCACTTTCCACTATTTATGTTATGAGTCCCATGTAATAGGAGGTGAGCCTATTGCCATATACCGGACACAGTTTAGACTTCATGCTACTACTGAGAATTTTAAAAAACCCAGTAACTTTGCCTGACCCGGGAATCGAACCCGAGACCCTTTGAGCGGCAGTCGCAATTGCAACCACTCCCAACGAGGCAGTCAAATTAATATGACAGTCATGTACAGTCAATAATCGCGCAGAAACATACTTATAGGTCAAATTGAGAACCTCCTTTTTTTAAAGTCGGTTAAAAATTTTAATAAATACTATAAGCTATGTTAAAGGTAAAGGCTATGTAAGTAACATACTAGTACCTAAAATAAAAAAGTCAAATAGTCCTATTATATATTTTTTATGGAATAGGAGGTAGCGCCGCTCATGGACGCCCGCAACACCAGAGGAATCACAGGTGCTCTTTTCTTGAAGGTTTGAAGGTCGTATCGGTTCGGAAATACCGCCGACGACAGATCATTCCACAGTTTTGCGGTGCGAGACAGAAAGCTACGCTATTGTAAAAAATACGTACTTAAAACTCCCAATTTCCATGTTCTGTTCATGTTTCCTGATGTGGCCGTTGAAGCTCATTTCTCCCTTGTACATTCTGCCGCAGTAGTAGCAGGTAAACTTCTTGTAATGCACGCTGTCATAGTGCTGTCTCAGACTCTCCTCGTCACACATTATCTTGCCACATTTCTCACATATGTGCGCGTTTTCCGACTGCAAAGCGTTCTGGAATAGTGAATTTCGTGTTAATATTGTTTTAAAACATAACACAACGTTTCGCCTTTTATCCCCGAAGGGTTAGGTACGGCACTTAATGCCACTGTACAATGTAATACCGACTTTTCACTATTTATGTTATGAGTCCCATGTAATAGGCGGTGAGCCTATTACCATATACCGGCCACAATTCCAGACTCCGTGCTATAACTGAGATTAAAAAAAAAACCTGTAATACTTTGCCCGACCCGGGAATCGAACCCAAAGCCCGGCAATCGCACTTGAAACCACTCAGCAAACGAGGCTATTTTTTTTTAAAAACACTTACTCTATTCTATGCGAGTTAGACTCGTACGAAGGTACAATACAAATTGATATGAAAATTCTTATCATGAAGTTCAGAACAATATCCGATGTACAATAATAAATAGGGTAACCCATATGATTTTTTAAACTCATAGTCATCACATCATACCTGATGAATTGGTAGTGGTATCATTGAAAATCTCTTAAAATACTGAAAATATCCCAATAAGGATTACCCTAACCGGAAATTGAACACAAGACTTGTATTTTTTTTTTAATGCAATAGGAGGCAAACGAGCGGACTGATCACCTGATGGTAAGCGATCAGCGCCGCCCATGGACACCCGTTCCATTACAATCACCAAATTCATTGGTAATGTGATGGCTAATTTCTCATTAACTAAACTAAATAATATTATAAATTATTTTCGACCCCATTTTAGTAATTTACCTCAGTAATATTCTTCATCCGTTCATGCCATTTGAGGTGGTTGATGATAGTGGAGCGCTTCTTGAACACAGTGTTACAGACCGCGCACTGGTGCACATTGGTGTGGGTCTTCATGTGATTGTGGTACTCTTGTTCATTCTCCGTGAATGCTTGACATACCTAGAAACACAATAAATTGTGACATTCATTATTATGTTATTGGCTTACACACGTAACTGTTTGATGAGGAACTCGACTAGTTTCAAGCCATGCTTGGGGGGGGGCCCCCTGTCACAGCTAGTCACATTTGAGACCCCCCTGTCACAGCTAGTCACATTTGAGACCTTTACCTTACAAACATACAGGGTGATATTATGATCCATCATCATGTGCTGCTTCAGTTTAGTTATGAAACGGTACTTCACCGGGCATCGAGTACACAGCTTATAGGACATCGGACCTCTTTTCCTTCCCTTCTTAATTCGATCTTCTTTCTTATCTACAGTTAAAGAAGCATTAAACTTTTTCCTGTATTTATCCCCTTCCGATCCCTGAAGCTCTGTAAGAGTACCATCTGGCTGTGATCGGTAAAACGCAGGCTCTCCGTTATCCTGAATAATCACGACCACATCGTCATTATCATCTTTTTCCACCGTTTTTATTGTTTCTTTTTTTATGAGATTCTCTACTAATTCCATTTCCTTGCCAATAGAGTGTAGATTAAAATCGTACACAGGTGTTGCGGTCAAAATTTCAGGAAGGGATATACAAAGTGTGTTATTGACAATTTCTTCCGGCAATTGAATTTGTTCTACGTTTTCAAGAAGTTCATTCGTATAGAAATGTAGTATTTCCTGGCTGCGTTTAGATAGGAGGTAGAATTTGTACGCCATGGACGCCATCATGAAACAGTTGATGCAAATGTTGTAGGTATCTGTGTCGGAGAGCTGAAAATAATCATTTTTATTTGGTTAGTTTATTTTTTAGTACAGCAGAGTCTACTGTAATAATTAATAAGATATCAACAACTAGGAGACTGTTTGTAGTGCAGGTATATTGAATGGTTTATTTGATTTTGTTCATTTATTTAAAATCAACAAATGCTAACAAGTTACACCCAATGTGATAATGTTGTCACTTAATATAAAAAAGTTATAAGTTATGTGTTCTAATATACATGCACAAACACTGACCTTAAAAGTAGCGTAAAGATATGGTTTTACTTATAAAAATTGCAATATCTATAAAAACTTTCTTTTCTCTGCATTGTACACATAAGTTAACTAAATAGACTTACTGTAATATCACACATAGTCTGCAGAACATCAGCAATACAATATTCCTTGTCGAATTTACATACTTTTGTAAATATATTCTCATATTGGTCACGAAGCGGTTTCAGACAAATAACACACAAATTCTCGGTCAGAGTTCCATTTGAGAGATGTTTCAACACCAATTTCAAGTCCAAGGTATTTGCCATATTTTCTTTCGACCATCACACCAAGTCCTGACAAGAAAATAGGATAAAAAACACATTTTCTAAACTAATATCTACAAAAAGACTCGAATAATTCAGAATTTACCACCAAATGAATTATAGATGCGTTCCGTGAAATAAACACAAGAGCTGATTCAGTAAGCGGTCCGTTCAATTTTGGTTGACGTTTTGACGCCATTTTTATAGAAAATAAATTCATGCTCTAATCTCTTTTAGTCGATTTTTTTAAAACATTTAAAGAAAAGTTTTATAATATTTAATAACAAATCTGTTAAGTTTAAATATTATCGTATTATTGATTTTTGTGTAAATTAAATTAACACTTACTTTTTTCCCACAAAAAAAAATCAACATTATGGCGCTAGTGTCCTCCTCTTAGTCTTCGTCCAACTGGAAATTAGCTAGTATCACACCATTGGACGATGGATTTTTGACAGCTACAGTGATCGGATAAAAGTTCTCATGCTATCGCCATCTAGTGTACGAGAAAATTCATTATGAGTAAGCAGAAAATGTCTAGTAGCAGAAAATCTAAAGGACAAAAGCGATAAAAACATAATAAATTAACAGATTAAACTGCCTCATGTACAATTTAAATTCAATTACTTGTTCAATATTAATTGTTAAAGAGTTATTAGTAATTAGTCGATTATTAAAAACCACACATAAAAAACTACAGATAAAAAATCGAAAACATAAATCTGTCAAAATTAAAGTGCAAAGTGGTATGTTTAGATTTTTTAATAATTTGCAGATAATTTAAAATTATATGGTAATTATATTAATTAACAGTGTTGTGCATGATATTAATAAAATACAAACGTTATTATCTGTCTTAAAATCCATACGAGCAACTTGTGTGACCTGCTTAGATACATATTTTTCGGAATAATCGGCGGCTAATTAGTGATTCTTGCAATATAATTTAGGTGAATAATCGGTCTTTAGATAATGGAGCAATGTTCCGGTCGTATGGAGGGCCAAGGAAATATAAAAAGGAAGCTTTGAAAAGGATTTAAATTTCCACAACATTATTTATTTGATCGAAGTTACAATGGATACGAAAATCTTGAGACAGAACTGATTGAAATCGATGCTATCTAATTCTAATTGGTAAGAACGACCTTGACGGTCATATTATATGATATTATTAATAGTTACAGTCCATTGAACATGAGTAAGAAATCACAAAGATTTTATTACTTTATAAATGTAATATTTCCACATAAAACTTGACATCTTGTTTACTAAACACTGCTTTTGTGGTATATTTTTATTATCATGTGTGTGCTCAGCTATTGCATATCTAGCCATTCTTGGAAGTAAGTAATGGATGTTTATTGAATCAAAATTCAAATTAATTTATCCACCTGCATACATGGGTACCTAATATATAAGTATTAACAAAGTTTACAGTTCCTCCATAATTTGCCATCACTTGGCATGCAAAAGTCTGTTATAAAAAATAATTATATAATAAAATTAGGTACATTGAATAGAAAGAATTCTAATGTTGTTAAATTACATTCTGACTCATACGCCATGAATAATTTAGTAATTATTATTTACCGACACATTTTTTAATAACTAATTGTATTTCCTGACTAATAATCTATCATTTATTGTATACATCTAATAAAGCTAAAGAGGTTCGAAATTCTGTACATGGAAGATATTAATTTTACATTGTTTAGGGATATTTAAAATCAATAACAGAACATTCAGGTTTTAGGATATTTGTCTGTTTAACTGTTTGTTTGTTTATTTGTGTGCACATCATGCAAAACCGGCTAAATGGATTTTGATGAAAAATGTTACCAATCTGTTGAGAAAGTTCCTGGCCAAATTACGGGCTATAAAATTCAATCCCTAAAAGGTGGTTTGCACTACACTCGAAATTACAACTGGGTGACAAATATTTCAACTACTTATCGTATATCAGTAACATCGTTTGATGAATTACTGCATCACGCTCTATCGTCAAATACGTCCACTTTCAACTGACTCGCGCGTAGCAGTACTGAAAGCCTAGTACGAATTGACTGTACGTTGAACGAGATTGAAACGTTACCGCGTTTTGCGCTCAGAGACCTTAGTACGAGTTTCTTTTACATTTAAAATAATCGTAACGATACAGCGTTCGGTGTTCTGGTTGCTTTATTGCAGACGGCCAATCAGAGCGCCGAACGCTGTCTTGTTACGAAAAACTTAAAGTAAACTCGTACTAACTACTGAGCCCTCTGGTCGTGGCAATGGCAACCGCTCGCGCGTTAAACAGGCGAGGCCTCGCGCGTTAAACGTATCATCTGGCTCTTGTAACTAGGTCTGTCACGACTTTTGTACCAAATACCCTATCATACCTTACCGAAGAAAATCGGATCCTACAATTCGGCTTCTGCTCGCAAAATTCGAGGCTGCAGCCTTCGGACTCGAGAAGGGATATAAAGGGGTAGAGGTATGGGTAGAAAAGGGATAGGAGTAGTAGGTGCAGTGGTAGAGCTAGGGCCATGGATAAAGTAAGGTAATTTTTAACAAATACTTTGAAACCTTAAACATACCAAACACATAATAAATTCTCATTCCAGCAACGAAAAATGGAGACCATCGAATTCCAAACTACGTCCGAGATGACGACAGATCTCCAGACAGACACCGTAATAAAAGAGGAAGAAGATTCAGACCAAATAATACCAGACGAATTACCTTTGGACATCAAATCCGAAATGCATATTGACGAAGACATACAAGACCACTTAGACAATCCGTTTAGCGACGTACAGTTAGAAGTTAAACAAGAAACAATACCCATATGCATAGACAAAAACAGCAATGAAAATGTCGAAGAAATAATACCAACGATGAACGAGTTCGAAGACAAAGATGAAGAACACTACGTTACCGCACCAAAAACTGAATTTTATGAAGAAAAACCTAACTTGTATGAAGAGAAAACAGAATTATACGATGAAAAACAGGAAATTAAGAAAGAAAGTGTATTGGGAGACGAGTCCATAGTTACGTATGATTACCCAAATTTTGATGACGTAACGAGTATGGATAGCAATGATGCGGCCGCTTTGAATCAGGTGGAGGCCTGTTTGGAGGATGATATGAATATCAAGTGTGAAGATGACGATGACGATGACGTGAGTATTTTCTGGTAATACCTATAATATAATCACTGCATGGTAGGCGTGCTGGCTGCCAAGCAACGTGTCGCGGGTTCGATTCCCACACGAACAACGGTGTATGATCCACATATTGTTTTTCAGGGTCTGGGTGTCATGTGTATGTGAACTTGTATGTTTTTAAACACACCCACGATACAGGAGCGTACTCAAAGAGTCCGCTCCGTTACCCAGGCCAGATGTTGTCGAAAATGGTCATTTGATCATATACATAATTAGTTGTCGCGGAGAACCTAACGGGTAACCGGGTCTCCGGCTCGACGTGCAGGAGAAGGAACGGGGTGGTTTTTAGTCAGTCAAGAGTCTGACACTCCCTCCCGCCTCACCCAGGCGGGAGCAGTCATTCGATGATTTTCCCCCTTAAAAAAAAACATACATAACCATGATTGTAATCATCAGGTTTTTGTGGTAAGATGCCTTAAGCCTCTTCCCTTTTTTTAGTTTGAGAGCGTAAATCATCCAAAGTGTTCTCATACCTTGAATGAAGCGAGAGGGCATGTCAGACTCTTACTGACTAAAAACCACTCCGTTCCTTTTCCTGCTCTTCTAACCGGAGCCCCGGCAACCCGTTAGGTCCTCTGTGGCTCCGTATCGGCATCAGCCCTACTGGGCCCCATCTGCAGTGGTCTGATGGCTCTTTGAGGCGCGCACGGAACGGGACGCGCCGTATAAGCCTCTTCCTTAGCAATTGGTTTCGTGTCCAATTAAAAATGTAACTGAAATTCATATCTCAAAAATATGCTGTTATAACGTATTTTTATACGCATACAGTATAATTTTTTTAAATCGAGATACATGTTTGCTTTTTGTTGTTCAAGTATAATAATTATCAAGTATAGCAAGGCTCTCAATTGCTTCAATAGCTAGTAATTTTCCTGTTGTGTATGAAGCAGGTAAATTAGTTTAAGTTTCTACTTGTACGTTTCCTGTCTAGTACCTTTAATTAAATTGTAACCTACCATTGTAAATTATATTCTGTAAGAATGGAAGTTTAAACATGCACATAGTATGCATGGAAACAAATCTATATAAGGTCTTCTGCAGTTGTGCTTGTAACACATCACTCCATAGTAATAATAAACATCTAATGCTATTTGCTTAATATTACAGAATCAAAAAGAAGACTACGAGAAACTAGACATTAAAGAAGAATCAGATGTAACAGTAACGGAAACACATTTGATATCAAACAAAGTTATAAACACTACATCAACAATCACAAATCCACACGATGGTCTCATTGAGTCCAAAACTACAAAGACTTTAGTCATGGAGATACTACCCATGTCACAAACTAGTATGCGATTCTCCAAAATCGGCAATCCAGAAGAAATCCTCCCAACGACATATGAACATAGTGAGAGCTATATGGACTATCAAGACTCATTCCAACTAAATTCCATTACTGGTAACGTCCTCTCCTTAGAACAGGAAGCGTATGGTCTTCTCAAAGCTAAAGGAAAGACGAAAGAAGTCGACGATCTTGTCTTCGAATGCCCAAAATGCACTAAAACTTACCGCCAAAAAACTTGTTTGAAAAGACATTTAGCAGTACACGATAGTATTGAGAAACGTGCCCAAGGTCACATTAGAGCTCAGGTCACAAGGAAAAACAAGAAGCTTAAAGCAGAATTGGATAGTCCAATTGTGAAAAAAGAGGAAAGAGTTAAAAAGGAGGGGTATGAGTGTACTTGTGGCCAAGTGTTCCAACGAAGGAGTCGGATGGAAACGTGTTTGAGGTCACATAATCTTTTCGCCGACACTAACACTTACCCTTGCGTGTCTTGCAACAAACAGTTCAAAGATAAAGAAGAACTGTCCCTCCACCGCAAACGACTGCACAGAAAAAGATTTCCCTGTAAATTCTGTCCTACTGACTACAATACGAGAAAAGAACTCTTCAAACATCTCCAAGACCACCAAAAAGTCCAATTAATGGAATACAAAGTGATTTCTGAAGTCGTTAAAGGGAAACAGAAGCTCAAATGCTTCATGTGTCCGAAAAGTTACGTGGAACTGTCTGATTTGAAGTCCCATGTTATGGATGATCATAAAGAACCGTACAGTTGTCCAAGATGCAAGCGAACGTTCTCGAAAATCATTGATTTCGGCAATCATACCAAAACTTTCCATCCAGAAGTAGAAGGCCAGTCAGTCTTAGATGTTCTAGAAGCCTTCTCGAAGTTAGTGAAGGCCTGGAAATGCGAGGAATGTGGCCTGCAGTTCCACGAGGCCGATAAGTTGGCTGTGCATCAAATAGAAAAGCATAGTCCGGATACAAAAGTGGAGGCTCAATTCCAATGCGCGGATTGTCGGAGAGTTTTCGTCAGTCAGAAAGGGTTAACATCACACAGACGGATACATCACAGTACGGAGAGCGTTGAGGAGTCAGAGCCTGTAGAAACAGGTGTAATGTGTTTAGAATGTCGAAAGATTTGTAAGGATATGAATGCTTTAGTCTCCCACATGCGTTTCCACTCCCCAGAAAGGAAGTATCCTTGCAAATTCTGCGATTTTCGTTTCGCTACCCCCGAAAAACGGAAAGCACACGCCGAGATCCATACAGGGGATATGAAATACGTCTGTTTCATTTGCGAATACCAGTGTAGCTCTGAAAATCGACTGAAACATCACAAATTATCGTCTAAACATATTAATATGAAAGAGTTTTTGTTGACTGGGAAGCCGTTACCACAACAACCAGAGTCTTCCAAACAGGAGAAGGTAAAAGAGACTTTGAGAAAGAGAGAGTGGGGGGTTAAGGAGAAGAAGAAAAAAGAGAGAGTGAAAAGTGAGTCACCAGAGAGTAGTGAAGTGGCTTGTGATATTTGTGGGGACATGTACCCGAGTGAAAGTGAAATGTTAGAACACAAACAGACACACCCTTTTATCGAGTTCCCTAATGAAGACAAACCAAGTAGGATATTCTTTAAGTAACATAATTCTTGCCTAAATCAGTTATAGTGATGTTGCTATAGTTTTGTAAATACAGAAAAACATATTCTGACGAATAGAGAACCTCATTTGAAGTCGGATGGAAATCTTACTCTGTCGTACAAATTAGAAAGGTATGCTTTTTTCATCTCTCAATGTAGGTTTTTTGTTGCTTTGTAGGTGGCGCTAGTGAGTGATAAAATCCTATAGGCCTTATCAACTTTGCTGGTAAAAGTTGATGGACCCTTAGCCTCTATTCTTTTAGTCTATAGACCTTACGCCATTTAGCGCCTATAATTAAAAAAACCTACATTAGAGAAACACAATTTAGTACCGAAATTATAAAAAGAACGATTTGTACAAAAACTAGATTGAAGGAAATAAATAAATATTTTAGTAAAGAAATAGTTATAGATATATTCGTCTCTTTCTTAATCATATTATAAGTAAATGGTGCGAGAGAGACAGCAGCTTAGTGAAGACGAAAGTGCAATATAAATGTATAGACACACTGGCAGCTTATCGTATCCCGGTATCTCACATTTCTTTAATCTATTTTCGACTTTAATGTGTTCTAATAAGGTCGAAAATCGAATAAAGGAATGGAATATGTTGATGTACTGTGTGATAGTTAGCGATATCACTATAACAAGAAAGAAATCACTGGTTTTTGAAAGTTTGATCAAGAAATATTCGATTAATTTTAGTCATAAAAATACCGGACCTGCCTGCCCTAGTTACTTAGTTATGGCGTGATGTGCGACATATAAGGCTTCTAAATATAGCATGAAATAAAAAAAAACAAAAAGCTCTTGAGCCTAATTATTTTTATTACATTTTAAAGTTTGAAAGCTTTACGGTATATCACAATATTAGTTCGAGCCTTGTAGCTAAAGATTCGGGTTTAAATAAAAAAGCTTTAGTCTATTTTAAATCACAATTCAAATTGGAAAGAAACAAAGAAATGTTAAAGTCAAACTTTTAAACGCCAAAAATTAAATTGTTAATCTGTCTGTCAATGTAGCTCTCGTGCTCTCGCTCGTTCCAAAGTGTAGTTTCGAATGGAGAAGACCGAGAAAGAAACTCCATCGTTAATCTTTTAAACAAATGTTTTTTACAGTCTTATTGATAAATTATCTGATCCTTTACCTAATGTATATGTGTGAAAACGATGTAACGACAAGTTGAAATACGAAGTAAAACCAACCTTTTTGACAAGGTAACTGACTAGTTACAAGCCACGCCAGGGGTTCATATTCTAGGAGCTTGAAACTAGTCAAGTCTCTGGATCAAAAAGTTACGTGGTTCGATCGTAAAACATTTAATATAAAATGATGAATCTTTCAAAAACCAGTGATATATATTTAATTAAGTGTACATACATTATTATATTATTGGCTTTTATAGTAAGATTTTGTTAAGCATTTACGTTGACGGGGTATTTATACGGTGCCCGGGTTGCCCGTGTTAAAAAGCTAGTCTATTTGTGTAGGTTTTTCTATAAATTAATGTTAAGGACCATGTTTTGAGTGAGTGAAGATGATGAAATTCATCTAAAGAGTAGTACTTAGTTCCATATTTTGATGGGAAATTCTAACTTAACTTAAACTTCTTAACCCTTTAACCGCCGACAACGTAATATTACGGTTTTCGAAAGCTGTGTCCGAATCGCCACATACGTACAATCACGTTATTTTATTAAAAATCTTCTTATAGTGCACAAACTCCATATAAAATGTGTCAATTTCAAGATGTAGGGTATAATCTTTATTGTTATGGATATTTCTCAATGTTTTGAGTGATAAATACTGTGAAATTTGAGGTTTAATTAAATTGTGGTCACCGTCTCCATTATCTGTATCGCCAATCACGTAATTTTACGAGTACTAGGGATGGGGCGAATTCGAAAAATACTTAATAGGTTGTCTAAGAACAAACAAGGCACTATAGATATTACTGTCACTATTTGCAATGAAAGTGTATACTTTCATTAGAAAATAACCATAGTGTTACTTTGATGCAAGTATTTGTACTAATTAAAATGTATTTAAGTTTAAAATTATTTCATATTTATAACAATAATATAAAAACTCCATAACGCAGAACCGCACTAGTGCGGACAATCGCCGGTCGCCATCATCGTAATATTACGTGCGGCCAAGGAGATTATAGCGCTGTATTGTGAGTTGCCTTAGCGCCGTCACCGTAAAATCACGTTAAACATTTATCACTCAATGCAACTAGTGTTGTAAGCCCTTTTTTGGGTTTTTGTTATTTCTCAAATAAATCAACACAGTCAAAACCAAATGTGTCCATTATGCAAAGTTAGAAGATGGTGACGCAAAAGTTTTTGATCAGAGACCAAGTGATCCACGAAATGAATACTTTGCATCTTTAAAACCTTTTGAGCTGGAAACCGTACTGTCGGAAATCCGCTCAGAAGTTTACATGAAATTATTAAATTTAATACAACATGCTCGTGGAGTATCGTCACCGTCGCCAGCAGGAGAACGGACGACGCCGTGGCCATTTCCCGAATACTCATTTTCGTACACTTCGTTTGAAGATTGAAAATTTTTAGCTTATTTATTAAGTAGGTAAATAAAACATTGATTTTAATTAATAAAGAATATATGCATCGATATTAAGTGTTCCCAACACTGTTCCAACTTATACCTAAAGTGACGTGGCGCTGGAGGTAAGTTGAAAGTTCAGAAGCTTGGCGGTTAAAGGGTTAATCCCCGATTATGAACAATCCACAACATTTTGTTCATACAAAAGTAGTATCTAAACATTGGAAATAAGGTCTATAATGGAGTAAGTGGAGAGCATGGGAACTGAGGAGTAAATTGTCGCCTCTGTAAGCCAAAATCTATCGTGGCGCCAGAAAAGTTCTACAACTTTGAGGGTTTTCGATCTTGTACTCATGAGATGGAGCTAGCAAGGCGTAAGGTCCCATAAGTCCGATCAGCTTTGCTTTCCCATTTTGATTGAATAATGCTTTAAAATTTGTATAAAAATCTAATTAGGTGACAGAAGTCCAGCTAAACATAAGTAAGGAATGAAAGGACATATTTAATGTTCTGATTATCTATACGTGTTGTTGCCATATAAAACACTTGTAAATACATAATTTATATGTATGCGTAACCCAATTTGGTAGTGCCTTTTTTTAAGGGGGGAATAATCATAGAATGACTTCTCCCGCCTGGGTCAGGCGGGAGGGAGAGTCAGACTCTTACTGACTAAAAACCACCCCGTTCCTTCTCCTGCACGGCTCCGTATCAGCATCAGCCCTACTGGGCCCCATCCGTGGTGGTCTGATGGTTCTTTGAGGCGCACGTGTTACGCGACGCGCCGAACTTGGTGGTGTCTAAAAAGCAGTCTATTCACCTTTTGTTTTGAATGTTTGATTTCACCATCTTCACTCACTCAAAATACATCCTTATTACAAGCGATTACGGTTGTTTTCTATTGTCGAGCAATTTTAATTGTTGGTGATAGCTATTATTTAAATACTTTGCACTGATTATTATATTATTGAGCAATTCTCTGTATGGTGTCACACGGGAGACTATATTTTGATGACAAGCAATAATATACTTTAAGATGTACTTCTGAAGGTTCAAATTACGATACCAATGGTTTAAGAGCAAAATGCTGTTTCTACATAACATAACATCACGCCTTTTATCCCCGAAGGGGTAGGCAGAGGTGCACATAGATGCTGTTTCTGTGTATTAAAAATCGCCCTTATGAGTAATCGTTTAAGATATATTATTGTTTGTTACCAAAAACTTCTTTGTTCTGTCAAGCCAGTGAAGCTCATATAAATGTTAGTTAAGTCAGATTCTTAATAATAAGTTAAGCTGATTATTGCAATAGTTATTATTATTATTGTCCAATTATTATAGTTATATATTGTTGAGTGTAGTTACAGGATTCTTATACAATGTTACAACTTCAAATATTCATTTCATTGATCATTAATTTTAAATTTTGTTTTAAATGGTGGCGCTGTCGTCGATTTAAGTCCACCTCACAATTTAATAAATAAAATTAGTAAATTGGTTTTTAAATCCAATGCTACACAAGCGTCCTGGCGACAAATATAAGCTAACTTATTATTGATTGTTTATGTTAAAAGAACATTATTGAATTACAATTATAAATGTACACAAAACACCGCTAATTAGTAGCAGCGCCACACATCGACACAACTGTCATTTACACAGTGTGCATGTGTGGGTAATTTCATATTACTGTGTATAAAAATATTCGTCCACCACATTCACATTGGTATATTCATTCTTTTGTCGGTATACGTATTTTTATAATTTAATGCAAGGGTAAGGTTAAAACTATTTACAATCATTGATATGACCCGACATTTTCACTGTCATTATCGTAATACTCCTGGTCGATTGGTTAATGAGCACGCTTTTATCGTCTTTCAAGGATCAATGATGATGTGGGTTCTATTCCAGCTAAAAGTTTTTTTATTTTACCTTGTTGTTTTTCTTATTTTTTTTTTTTTTTTTTTTAATATTATATCAGGCTATAAAAGAAGCAAATGAGTCGGTAAATAAAACAATACCAATTTTTATTACAATTAATTTATTTATTATACAAATATGTGCTTTTATATTCAATATTTGTATCTAATAATTAATTATATACCACATGTTAAGTTTAAAGTTCTTTAAATCATAATTAATAGATATGATAATAAACCTCATAAGTAGTCGAATCGGGAAGTATCATGCGGTAATGCGATGGCAGCAACATTTTTTATTATGTAATAAACAAATACAACATTTTTGTTTTGTAATTTAATAAAACATTAAGTAATAAACAAGTAAAACATGTAAAAAAAATTACACTGAAATTTTAACATGTTATTTCTTGAAATGGGCGACTTTTTGTCATTGGAATCTTCAATTAATTATCTATTTTACGACCGTTGTTATAAGGTTCAATATTCAGAGGCTGTATGTTACTAAAAAAAATGTGTCAAATGCTATGGAACGATTTTAACATTCATGACCTTTAGATTCAGGGAAACTTTAAATTAGTTAAAGATGTGCGTAAATATAATATGTCAATCAAGCTCGAAATCAGTTAAATAAATTTGTTAATGAAAAATTAAAGTGAAGTGAATCAACATGTTGAATAGAAAGAAATTATGACAATTTCTAACCACAAAACAATAACATCACTTCACCGTATGCTCTAGACAGCATTTTAATATTCTTAAAAAATATAAACATTATTATAAGTTAATTTGAATAAAGGCTACATTACGTTTTGTAAAATATTCAAGTAATCATGACTGTTACTGAGACCAGATATTTCCACGAGCTCACCGGGACCCATAAAAGACATCCAACCCCAATACCCGACAGTAATACGGCCACTGGTCCTACAAGGCAGAAGGTTACAATTCGTATACCTTTCTCCATCTTTTCTCCACAATATTTTACGCCATCCTTATCCGACTTGAAAGTGTTTTCGTCACTAAATATAACCACACTGTTCGCCCAATCAAAATTAATAAAGTCCCTAGCAAATTCTAATCGCTTTTGCTGGTGCACCACAGATAACAATATTTTCTTCGCTGGCTTTCTGCACCTTAAACCAGCAGAATGCAGGTGTCTCCGTACAGTTTGTATTGAAACATTCAGTGCTGTCACTTTAGTGTGTGTTGGCAGGAACGGATCAGCCTTGTGCCTGACTACGATGTCGTAGTGCCGAGCCGATGAATTTGCCTTTGGTTTAGGCCCACGTCGACGATGTTCAACGTCACCGGTCTCCGCATATCTGTGCACCCATAACTGCACGGATCTCCTCTGTTGATACCAAACAAATAAGTATTTAAAATACCAGGAAATACTTTACAGGAATTAAAGTTACTTAAAAATAATAATAAATATAATTAATATCTATAAATAACTTTAAATTATAAACACAATATCAACTAGATATAAATTATAAACACAATATCAACTAGATAGAATATCAACGTAGTATATTATTTACTCACCGATATCATTAAACGCCTTGCAATTTCAATTATTGGTATGTTTTGCTCATGCAAAACAATGATTTCAGCCTTTTTAAATGTTGATAGGTGTTGGAACATCTTGTAAAAATAAAAATAACTTTGCACTCGAATATGAGTAGCGTAGCAATAAACTATGAAATCCTCATACATTTGACAACTAAGAACGCAATTATTTTGTAAGTCGGGTGATTTGAAAAACTTGTTTTATATAGTCGGTAGTTTCTTCATAAGCGGGTAAAATAAAATTCCATGGTCGCCACAAACATTACAAATATACTCAGGTATCCAACCATTAAGAAAGCATAGTTATTACTTTTTTACTGTTTTTTATCTTATTTAAGTTGGTTGAAATGCATGAAGCAAATGAGATTATTCTAAATAATAAATAGCTAGAACTAAATATAAATAAAAGATATTATAGGTATAAATAAATCTAAAGTATTTACTATTAAAATTAACATAAGATTTAGAAAAATAGGATAAGAAAAAAAAGAAAAGATTTAATTGTTTCAAATTTCAAATATTTGATAAATTAATACTAATACAACATGTGAATGCCGGAATCGATCCGGCGGCACATTACTTGACGACAACTGGAGGCGATAACCATTGCGCCAAGCGCGCTGTAGATGAGATCATCGAAATATTGTATATCATTCAGTAACATAAAAATACGATGAGAAAACACTATATTTATATGGGTATTGTATAGCTCGATCGTTCATTATTTGATTTCGATTTATTCAAAGTTTGTTATGAGTATTTTTATCTTTACCCTCGTTTTTATTTAAACTTATTTACTAAATTATTACGTATACCGACACAAAAATGATATTTAAATACCAAGATGTGTGTGATAGACGAATGTTTCTATACATATCTATTAATATGAAATTACCCACACATGTATATTGTGTAAATGATAGTAGTGTCGATGTGTGCTACGAACTAATTAGCGGTGTTTTGTGTACTTACAAGTTGGGAAAGTATTTTGTTCAATTTTTCTTTTAAACTTTCTTAGTTTGGTGTTTATCCTTTTCTATTCAGATATTCCTTTTGTTTTTAATGAGTATTATTAAATTTGTTTGAAATTGTAGTGTGTCAATCATAAATAACTGATTCGTGGCTATAAAGAGAATATTTCGCTGCAGAGAAAGTAAGTGGGCATGTATAGTACTGTGGCTAATATCGGGGTCTTAGAATAAGCAGGATTGTAATAAAAAAACACGTTTTTATGATATTGTGGCAACATTAACTTTAGAATGACTTCTTTTTATTTTAAGTTTAAACATATTGAAGGTTTTTTCCGTTGAAACTTCCACCTTTCATTTACAGATTACGATCAGTCAGGTCACATGTAAACTGTATTTTCTCGATGTTATTCTATATATCTACATACTAATGCCCGAATACTGAAACGGTACTCAATTTTGAGTCGCACTTAAGTATAATTCTGGCACTGCAAATTCTTTATAAAATGACAGAGATTAAGCCAACCTTTTATTGAAAACTTCTTTCTGGTTTTCAATGACTGACTTGTGTCTAGTGAAAACTAGTTGATGATAGGAAGCACCCAAGATATTTTGTAATACTAATGTCGAAATTCTCAAACGCCACTCAAATTTAAGTCGCGCTTAACAATAGTTCTGTTAGTATAAATTCTTTGTATAATTACAGAGATGGCATTATATTTAAGTAGAACTTACAATTGAGTAGCCTTTCAATATTTGGGCTTAATGAAAGTTATAGTAAAAATTGTTTTGATTAAAATTAGGTCCCCTTTTTTAACTCTTGTGTTATTTTAATGTACTTTCTCTGCGGCAAATAAATATGTAATATAATATGTTTTATACAAGGATGTTGAACACAAGGCGGACGTAATGTCTTAGAAATGATTAAAGCGCCAAAATGTCAGTGGTGTATTTATTTGTGTGTTATACTTACTTGCAACACTGTAATGTATGAAGTTTAATGACAAGCCATGTTTGACAGATGTCCTTCGTGTCAATGTGTGTGTATTCTGCTTGTAAGTCTATAGTAGCCAGCAGCTGTAGCCAAATGCCATTTAGCGCTTGTCTCCTGAGAGAGTAGATAACTAAATGTATGGGAATGACACTAACAAGTGTCAAAATTTACGTCAATTCCATATAATTTGGTTTTCTATTCTATAAGTAGACAAGAGCTAAATGGCATTTGGCTACAGCTGCTGGTGCCACAGTCGTTGGTTCAAGAGACTGTGTCCGCCTTTTTTTAACGTCCTTGGTGTTATATAATTTGGTGCCTGATATTTAGTTGTCTACTTAGTGTAATGATAAGAGAAAAATATATTGTTTGTTGAACAGCAGCATTTTGTCATTTCATTTTGAACCTTTAGTACAGTTGCTTTACTCACATAATTATTTATTTGTGCCAGTTATGCTAAACTCCCAAGTAGAGGGTCAAGTCTTGAGAATCTTCCGGAGTCGCGGAGAACTTGATGGGTGGGGGTGGTTTTTAGTCAGTAAGAGTTTGACACTCCCTCCCTCCTCACCCAGGCGGGAGAAGTCATTCAATGATTTTTCCCCCTTCAAAAGTCTTGAGAATCTTGCTATTAGTGATTATAGGGGCTTCCTATAATCACTAATAGCGCCCCTATGCTAAATACTACTATTACGTTCGACCTACTGCGAAGTGAAAACCAATTAAAATATTTCTACTCGGTAAACCAATAATGTTTGCTTAGTAGTCAATTAAACTTCGTAACTTTCACTGAAAAATTCTCAATTCTAATAAACTTTACATTGTATAAATAATAGACGACTGATCCATTTATATTAAGTTGATCAACAGGCTCTTGTGAATGGAGGCTACTAGTGTTGAGCTCTTCGTTCTTAGTCCAATAGAGAATTAGCTGCAGTGATTGGTCAAAAAGCCCTTCCAAAAGCACTATATGCTGTTTGAAAAAACGATACATTCATCGCACACCGCTAGAGGCGCAGCAGAGCGCATGTTCTTGAAACGCGATGGCAGATTCCGCGGGTTTCGAGCGACATCAAGAACCCTTACCCCCTGGCCACAGCCAAGCGCGGCGCGGATTGCGGCGCGGAGAGCGTCGCGCGGCATGCGGCGGCGCGGTGTGCGAGTGAAACAAATGCACTCGGGAGTATCGAGGCGGCCACAGCCAGAGCGGCGTATGCAGCGGCAGCGAGGGGACGTATTTGTGTTCGCGCGAACTGAATAAATCGTTTTGAAAATTTCGCTTCGCATCAAGTATCAGTGTTAAATTTTCTTAAAATTAACTGTAGCTGTCAAATCTTCTTTTATGTGGCCGAGTATGTAATCGAAGGTTTTTATGCTTGTCCTCGTATATTCAAAAAATTTTTATTCGTGATAAAGCGTGTGAAATTCGCCAAGGTTTTTCCTTTTTTCATTAACTGGGTGCGTTCCAATTTTAGAGTTAATGATATCTTGAGCTAAAAACGCATTAGTCTCAAGACAATATCGTGCCACTTTTGATAGGGCCATTATAAATAATACTAAGTACGTCCACCGCTGACGCCGCCGCGGTCGCAACTAGTCGAGCCTCGAGCTGTGGCATACCAACGCAAATCGCGTCGCCCGCCGCGCCTCCCGTCGCACCGCGCGCCGCACCGCTAGAAGCTGTGGCCAGGCCCTTACCCCCTGGCCACAGCCAAGCGCGGCCCGGATTGCGGCGCGAAATGCGTTGCGACAAGCGGTGAGCGCGGAAAACAAATGGTAGACAACGTATGAAGTATGCCACAGCTAACGGCGACGCGAATGGCGGAGCGACCTGCGGCGCGGAGAGCGTCGCGCAGCATATGGCGGCGACGGGCGGCGCGGTGTGCGAGTAAAATGCACTCGGGAGTATCGAGGCGGCCACAGCCAGAGCGGTGTATGCAGCGGCAGCGAGGGGACGTATTTGTGTTCGCGCGAACTGAATAAATCGTTTTGAAAATTTCGCTCCGCATCAAATGGATGCCGAAAAACTTATTAGTGAGATATTGAATAGGCCTGATCGGAATAGGCTGATTATATTTTCCTAAATGTATCAATGTTAAATATATAATAAGAGCCTTCGAGCGCAGAGAAGCGCGGAGATACTTAGCACAGACATCTCGCTCTCGTTCGTAATGGATGTAGACTGAGACATGATTACCAGGCCTCTGTCTCAAATTTTGCGGGCAGCGAGACGGCGGCGGCTGCGACGCGGGAGCGGCAGGATCTTATGCATAAAATCAATGGACCTGTTCTCCCGCGGCGGGAGCAATGCAGCGGAGCGCAGAATAGCATGGCGGTGACTGGAGCACTCGTGCACATACTCTTGAAGGCGTTACGAGCCTCGCATGTAAACTTATTCTTTTGTAGACAGTATGTCTCGTTGGCCGAGTGGTCGCAAGTGCGACTGCCAGGCAAGGGGTCTCTACTACAGGGGTACTGAGTTTAAAAAAAAAACACCACGCAACCGACGAACAGACCTTGTCAACTTGTAAGCAAAAAAAAATCGTAGATTCCATTGGGTTCAGACCCTTGTTCGCCTTCCAAAGATCTAAGACCCTGTGGCTCTATGAATGCTAAAGATATCTATCTATACAGATAAATAAAATTACAGTATCTGTTCGTAATATTAAAATAACCGCTTTTTACTACATGCATACGATACACATACCAAAATAACATTTGTCTGTCTGTCTGTTTCTACTGGCTCATCTCTAGAAAGATATTGACGGGACTTTTATTGGCATGTAGCTGGCTGGTGGAGTGACATAGGCGATTATTTTGGAAAATTAAAACACAATAAAAATTATAG